TACAGACTATGCTGTGCAAATATCAACTCTGTACTAAAGATTTTTTAGTAGCTATCAATAGCAGAGGAAAATCAGTTATGGTGGATAAGTAAATGGCAATGAATCCACCATTTGCTAATCTTCTCACTGAGGAAGTTGAGAGATTTTTACCAGGATCTACAGGTTTTCCTGGAATATAGTTTGAAACCACTGCCTTAGTTTATTACAACTAATACAGATCATTCCCATAATGATATACAACATTATATATTTTCCTAAATGTAATCATTCCATATCATACTTCCTTCCCTGCAGGCGTGTACTGTTATTTTTTACACATGGTTCCCAGCTGGATTTCATTGTGGCCTTCAAAACATATTGCAGTGTTGTATGATTTAATAGGAGTCACTTATCTTTTTAAAGTCAGCTTTCATCATATTAGGTAGCTGTATATTTTATACCTGAATAAGCTAATACCTCAAAAAATGAAAATTAATTCCTATGAAAAGTAGATTTAAAAAAAAAACAGTTTTGAGCTTTGTCTTTTGTGTACAAATATGGATGCAGTATTGCCTTTTCAACATTAAAGAGGAAATACATTAGGGAAACAGAAACATTTGAGACCTGTGGCTAGGGAACAAAACATGTTTCAGTTCAGATTTGCAAGGAGATGGGAAATGATTTGAGGAAAAAATAGGAAGTCAATTCCAGATGGTCACAATTGCAGAGAAAACTCATGTGCTTAATGAAGGAGTAGAGGGAGGAGTGAAAGTAGAAAGCTAAAAATCAAAGTCATGTTTGAATTATAATCCTAAATTACTTAAAAGTAAATGAAGAGAGTTGACCTATTTATAAACAATACATTGTATTTAAGCTGCAGGACATTTTATACAATCCTTTCAGGCCTTGCTGTTTATACTCAGTCTATGACAACTTGTGGTGGATGCAGGATTCAACTCAGATACAACAGTCACTTTTGCTTCTTGTTTATAGGAAAGGTGGCTTATTTTTCTTGATAACAATGCTGAAGTTCAGAATAATTGATAACTCCAATTTAATACAAGCCAATATCTCTCCACCAAAAATTAGTAACTGATACCAAGAGAGACAGGCAGGCAGTTTCAGTACCTGAGACAGAGTGGCCATTTGAACCCTCACCTTTTCCTTATAGCGTTATGTCAATATATATTTCTTCTCCTTTAGCAGGGCAGGGGGCCTTGAAGTTAACAGTCTACTAAATGGGGATGGGAGAAACCCAACTTGCTTAAATAAATAATTTTATGTCAACGTATTAGTGCTACTGCTTAAAATATAAAGCTTCAGTATATGTGATCAATCAAATACATTGGATGGGACTCCATTAATTTTCTCTCCTAAAATAGCCCTAGGCAACAATTGATAATCAGCTCTGAGGTTCCTTCTTAACTTCAGTAACCACAGTTGGCTGAACTGTCATCTTCAGTTGTGTACAACTTTATTGAGATTTGGGTTTCTACCAGTCAAATATAGTGAAAAGGACAGACGCTAGATAGTCAAGCTTTACCTGCAGTTGAAATATTTTTCACTTAAGTTGGTCTTTGAATATAGTTGAATAGAAATAGGGGGAAAATATCTTAAATAAATATGGTCATGTGAAAAATAAGTACACCCCATTAAGGCCTTCAGAAAGAAGGTTATAGATGCCTACGAGTCTGAGAAGAGATTTAAAAAGATTGCCAAACAATTAGATATCAACCATTCCACTGTTTGGAAGATCATCTACAAGTGAAGAAGATTTCAACTGCCAACTTGCCCAGGCGAGGCCATCCTAGGAAGTTCAGCCCAAGAGCAGAATGCAAGATGCTGCAAGAAGTCTCTAAGAACCCCAGAATTTCATCATGCGACCTACAGGTAGCTCTCACCATTATTGATGTCAAAGTGCATGAGTCTACCAATAGAAAGTAGTTGCACAAATTAGATCTACATGGGAGGTGTGCCAGGAAAAAACCTTTGATCTCCAGAAAGAACATCAAGACAAGACTCAAGTTTGCTCATGAATACCCAGGCAAAGGCCAGGACTTATGGAACAATGTGCTATGGACAAACGAGGCAAAGACAGAGTTATTTAGCCACAATACCAAAAGGCATGTTTGGTGAAAACCAAAGACAGCATTTCACCAGAAGGACCTGATACCAACTGTAAATGTGGTGGTGGAAATGTTATGTTATTGCCGCATCAAGCCCTCGGCAGCTCACCATCATAGAATCCTCTATGAATTCTTCATTGTTCCAGAAGGTGCTTAAGAATCATGTGAGACCATCTATCAGAAGTTTGAAGCTCAATTGAAAGTGGATCTTGCAACATGATGACCCTAAACATTCCAGTAAATCTACAAAGGAATGGCTGGAAAAGAAAAGAGAAAAGAAAAGAAAAGAAAAGAAAAAAGAAATGGAGGGTTCTGGAATGGTCATGTCAAAGCCCAGATCTAAATCCGATTGAGATGCTGTGGGGTGATTTGAAACTGGCTGTGCATGTTAGAAATCCCTCAAACATCACACAGCTGAAAAAATTCTGCATGGAGGAGTGGGAAAAAAGTTCCTCCCCGTGGATACCAGAGACCAGTAGACAGTTATAAGAAATGCCTATTTGAGGTTGTTTCTGCTAAACAGGGCTATACCAGCTATTAGAGCGAAGGATGTACTTGCTATTTCCACAGAAGTTAATGGCATATCTGTTAATTTTTTGTTGAATAAATGATTGCAAAGTCAATTTTTCATTTTTTTTGTTCAATTACATCACCTTTATATACTGTCTGAATGAAGATAAAATATTGATGTCTACATATGTTAAAAAAAAAACTTTACATGGGGTACACTTACTTTTTCACATGACTGTATCAATCTTGCTTTGAAACTGATTTAGATAGCCTTCTGTCATAAAATAAGCAGTTTAGTGCTTCTGTCTTGAATGTATGGTTTATAATTCTGGATGTTGAAACACTTGACAGAATGGATTATTTCAGCTTTTCCTTTTTTCTGTTACATTAAATTGGATCTATAACATTCTTCTTTGTTGTTACCTACCTTAGTTGCTGCTTTCTTTTAGTATTGCTGATAAATACTTTTACAAAATGTACACACTTTTTAAAAATTGTTCATCACATTGTTTGAGTACAAAGATTTTACAAAGATAAGTTACTTCTATTTGCCATGCTTTCAGGACTGTCTCTTACCTGGGCTGTAAGCAGCCTTGGAAAAAAAACTAGTCTTCAAAGATGGCTTATACATCCTATACATAACATCATAAATAATTGAATATAGAAATTAATTCAATGAAATGAATCCCAGTATTTGATGTTGGTTTTGTGTTGGGATTCAGGTGTCCAGAAAACATTTAGAATAAGTTGAGAAGCTGCTTCCCTATGGCAGACAGACATTGTAGGATTATGTTACTTTAATCTCAGTTCATATATTATGTCATGGTAATGCTCCTCCTCCCTATTATAACTGTGAAGAGTCTGCACATCCTTTAAAAATACACACACACACACATACACATACACCCCCCTTTGTACAGTGAGGGGTCTCTTGAGCTGGATACCATCTTTCCAGTTAATGATTAAGATCAGTGCTGCTTTGCTACCCTGTGATTTGGAAAAAATAGATTGATTTTAGAACACTTTTTTTCTGAAAAGAGTAAACTGATTATCCATTATTCAACTAATAGTTCTCATAACAACAGTAGTGATTTTGTTGTTTTGAAAATAGGCTCCTATTTAGTCTTTTTTATTATTTATTTAACTCATTACTATAATATATAGCAACATAATTTTTCTGAGCCAATTAATTTTAGCAGATAATGTCAATACCCCCTTTTTAAATAGAAGAGTTGTGATACACTTATTTAACACAGAGATAGGGTAAATGTTGCCCTTAAAGTTGAAAAGAGTAGGACCTACCTTGTAGCAACAACTAAGTTTTAGAATTGAAATCTACCTTCTTTCCTGCCTTCTTCCCTTTCTGTCTAACACATCACTGGACTACACATTGGTGAAAAGGGATGGTGCAAGACTTCGTGGAACATTTATTTCTATTTGTCACATTTCATTCCATTCTTATTACTGCTTTATTGCTGGACATAATGGTCATAAGTTCTAAAAACATATTTTTTCTGTTTTCTGCAATAGTGATCACTGTAAATATCATTTGCTTTGTGAATTTAAATAGAAGAAAAATGTAAAAAGTAATGAAAAGAAATTCTGTACAGTTCCACAATTTCAAGATATACCTGGTAAACAATTGAATTATAAAGAAATCATAGAATGTTGCAGTTAGAAAGTTCAGAGCTAACGTATCAACCTGATTACCTCCAAGATCAGAGGCAGTTTGTCTCTGGATACTGGTTGCTTATATCTTGCTTGAGGGCTTTCCGTAAATTGGAACTGTTGCACGAATAGAATTCTGGAACAGATGGGCATTTTCTCTGATTCAGCACAGCTCTTTTTACATTTATTCATATACATACATAGACCTAAACCATGTCTGAGTGTTAAAAAGAAAAGAAATGGAATCAAACAATCTGTTGTAGTTCTTGCACCATTAGTGGTATAAATGATACAACAGCAAAACTATCCTAGCATTTTAAGCTTAATGCCGAAGATTCATCTCCAGAACCAAAATCTATCTTTAGATTTAATTAAAAAAAAAAACATTATGGAACTCATCCTCTGACCAGGCAGAGCAGAGCAAATTCCTTATTCTTTGAATATGTTTTTCCTTCTGACTCAAGATTTCTTTTTTCTTATCCCATGTTATTTAGTGAATATACTTGAGTTGCAAATCAGAAGAAGTAAGTCTTCATTTCACCAATCTTACAAAATTCTTTCAATTCTCTCTGCTCATATGGCCCAATACGAAGACCTCTTTTTAAATATAAATATTTGACTAGTATGGATAAATATGAAGATACCAATTTTATTAACATTGAGTTAGATTTGTGTGATACATGAGTTTAATTAAATATGTAAACCTGTCTTTTGCAGGTACTTCATAGACAGCAATCCCAGCCAGCGAAGGAAAACTCCCCCCCAAGAGAAGAGGCCCCGCCCCCACCTGCAGAAGACGCATCTACAAAAAAGCCAAGATCCCGTACTAAGATTTCCTTAGAGGCTTTGGGCATCCTTCAGAGTTTCATCCATGATGTTGGCCTCTACCCAGATCAGGAGGCCATCCACACTTTATCTGCCCAGTTGGATCTGCCTAAGCACACCATCATCAAATTCTTCCAGAACCAGCGTTACCATGTAAAGCATCATGGGAAACTAAAAGAGCATTTAGGTACAGCGGTGGATGTGGCAGAGTATAAAGATGAAGAGCTGCTGACTGAGTCAGAGGAGAATGACAGTGAGGAGGGTTCTGAGGAGATGTACAAAGTGGAAACTGAAGAAGAGAATTCAGAAAAAAACAAAGCAAATACTTCAGAGACTGAGCAGAGATAATGTGAAAATATCACAGGCAAAGCAATACATTGTTCTGAGATTTTTTGTTTTGCTTCTTTCAGAAAAAAAGTGTTTTGGAATTTTCCAGCGTGCATAGAATATGTGCAAATTGAACAATTATTTTGCATAGCTCAATCAGACATTCCCTTGTAACAGGCACTTGAGTGTTACACTTTTTTATGTTTTATTGAGACAGTTAATTGTAATTCACTTAGGATTACATCATTGTTAATCTTGCACTTATGAAAGGATCCTCTAGCAAGCAAGTTACAGGAAGAAACAACTTATGAGATCAATGAAGGAAACAATAACAGTGTGCAGGTGTGTATATAATATGCACCATACATAAGTGTGTGTATATTTTTTATA